AGACTGTCATAACTGACCTGAGACAGACTGTCATAACTGACCTGAACAAGGCTGTCATAACAACCTGAGAGACAAGACTGTCGTAACTAACTGAGACAAGACTGTCATAACTGACCTGAGACAAAGCTGTCATAACTGACCTGAGACAAGACTGTCATAACTGACCTGAACAAGACTGTCATAACTGACCTGAGACAAGACTGTCAACTAATGACCTGAACAAGACTGTCATAACTGACCTGAGATAAGACTGTCATAACTGACCTGAGACAAGACTGTCATAACTGACCTGAGATAAGACTGTCATAACTGACCTGAGACAAGGCTGTCATAACTAACCTGAGACAAGACTGTCACAACTGACCTGACACAAGAGTGTCATAACTGACCTGAGACAAGGCTGTCATAACTGACCTGAGACAAGACTGTCATAACTGACCTGAGACAAGACTGTCATACCTGACCTGAGACAAGACTGTCATATGACCTGAGACAAGACTAATGACCTGAACAAGCTGTCAAACTAACCGGACAACTCTATAACTGACCTGAAACAAGACTGTCTGCTGACCTGAGACAAGGCTGTCACCAGCAACCTGAGACAAGACTGTCACCAGCAGCCTGAGATAAGACTGTCATAACGACCGGCCTGAGACAAGGCTGTCATAACTGACCTGAGAGACAAAGGCTGTCTCACTGAACAAGCTGTCATAACACCTGAACAGGCTGTCAAACCTGAACAGCTTCATAACTAACCTGAGAAAGCTGTCAAACCAGAGACAGACTGTCATAACTGACCTGAAACAAGACTGTCATAACTGACCTGAGACAAACTGTAACTGACAACAGACCATAACTGACCTGAGACAAGGCTGTCATAACTGACCTGAGACAAGACTGCATCTGACCTGAGACAAGCTGTCATAACTAACCTAGACAGACTGTCATAACTAACAACAAACACACCAACAAAAACCAAACAAACCACAAACTGACCTGAGACAAGGCTGTCATAACTAACCTGAGACAAAATATTGGTCATACTTGTAGATGATAACAAATATGAGTCATCCTTATTAACACTGACAGTCATAGTGTGTAAGTTGATAAATGTAATATTTGTGAAACTATATTTTATTTTCATGCCAAGTTTAAAGATGGTAACTGAGCTAAACGATGATGAGATATTTGATAACTTGATCCATCGCTAAAAAGCCCGTTAGACAATGTTACCTTTCATAGGAGTTGCCATACCTGAGCAATACTGAGGCGCTCTGTGGCCGACGTCTCGAAGTGCTGGTGTACTTGTGCTCGCCGATCACCACCATGTCGCTGGTGGTCATGCTAAGACATAAGCTGTGTTACTCCTACACTTTTGTCACACATCACCAGTATATTTGATCTTCCTAGTACTATTCTCTCTCTTTACCAATGCTTCTTTCTTGACTTGCAAGATATGAAACCTTTATATGCAAGTTTTATTTGTCTGCAGGAGAATCTGAGGCACAGAGGAGTTTTCATAATGATCAGGTGTCTGTAGTTATTTAATGGTATTTGGAAGACTGTAGAAGTTTATAGATTACGATTTGTGTTTAGGAAGAACTTTCCACAGGTAAATATGATCTATCCATGATACTGGATAAAGTTTTGGACAACATTACATGATATGAAGATCTGTAGCTCACTGAAGACAATAGGACGTAGCAAGAGGCGATGAAGTTAAATTATATTGCCACATATATATTTTTAAAATTATTTATAATATATTGTTTGGGGTTTATAACCCTACATCAACCTTTACCCATGCCCGCTGAAGATTGATTTTAAGTGCATTTTTGTAAACTTATTTTGTATAATAGCTAATGATAATGATAATGAACTAATTTAATCAAAATTTAATTAACTCGGGGAATATAGAGAGTCGGGTCAGACGGTCCGTTACGATAGGTCGTAATCCTAAAGATTAATTGCCATTTGATTAGTCAGCCGATGATGAGGATATTAGAAATTACCAGGAATGATGTTTTTATTAGTGTAGTCACCCAACACAAGATGGAGAGCCCTGGTGACTTACACGGCAGCGCAGTGAGCAGCAGTGAGGATCCACTGGTTACTGATGATGGAGGCGCCACAGAATGGTGTTGAGCCGGAAGAACTGACGAGAGCCACTTGTCAGGGATACTCGTGTATCTCAGTTGGCTGACCACCCACGATACGAGTCTGTCGGTTGCTTGTCCACACTCTGTACCCACAACATCACACAACTTCTTAATCCTTGCATATATTTAACACCACATACTAACATTTGAAAACGTCCAACATGTAAATAAGCCTTTTTTTATGAGGATTAGCCCACAAAGGCACAGGACAATGACCCACATCGGGGCCTGGGTGTAATAATAATTCAGTAAAAGTAAAATTTATACACAAATAAAATATAATGATAATATTAATGAAAACAACACTGCAATAATAATAATAATAATAATAATCATAATCATAATCATAAAAAATAATAATAATAATAATAATAATCATAATAAAGAAATACTAAAATGGAAAAGGGATCAAGAGGAAATAATATATGTATGTTGTGTTGTCAATGGTAAGAGAAACAATTGAGACCCTGCAATTGTATGTAAATGAGGCAGAAAGTCAGGTCAGCAACCTGGGACTTGGTCACAATTTTCGTGATGCCATATGGCAGCAGGGTCTACCATTAGACAATACATTATGCTTCCAATATCTTCCCAGGCGGTAGTACCTCCCTGTTTAGTAGCTACCTACTACTACAAATATTACCGTTATAATACAGACAAAAGATTTTCAGGAACTAGATGATTTGATTAAATAGTTGCTAGATTCACAAATTGACATTCTAATATATATATATATATATATATATATATATATATATATATATATATTATTATTATATATATATATATATATATAATATATATATATATATATATATATATTGATGTTTATGTTTTGATGTACAGACACAGCAGACCGGTTTGTCCCGATTCACAAAGAGACAACAACAGATTACGTTATACATACTGCAGCTTGTAGCTGAAGGGACGGTAGTTGCTGCTGGAGTCTTAGTGGTTGAGCCTGACCCTTGACCAGAAAAACACAAGTCGTTGCTTCCTTCACTCGTCTTAGCCTTCAGCCAGTCCAAATACTCTGCAAAATTGGCTCTTATATCAAGTCAAATATTTATAACAGTCTTGAGCACATACTATTAACGGTTTCCAAGAAGACTTCGACGTTATATGACATAAGTATTGAGATTTAACTTACTAGTGACCCGAACGTAGACTCCTGGGTAGTTGGGCATAGCACACCCATAGCCCCATGACACCACACCTGCCAACACCCACTTGCCATTCTCCTTACAGCCAAACCTCCAGAATCACCCTGCCAACATTTTAATATGATTTATGTATCGTCCTGAAAAAAAATACATTTATTTCATACAGAGATTCCTTGTATTTGTTCCAGAGTACGTGAACACTGACCTGACAAGAGTCCTTCCCACCAGCATCGTAACCAGCACAAAGCATGTCACTGATGCTGTTACCATACGACTGCTGGCACTCGCTGTTACTGACCACTGGAACCTGAACCTCTTGTAAGACATCGGGTTGACTACCGCCTGCAGGTAAATATTGGCGACGCTTTGATCAAAAGTCATAGGCTTCATATTTACTCTGCACTACTTGAGTCTGTATATGAAGTACATCCATGTTAAAGTAACGCTATAAAGTACAGTACCTGAACTCAACGTTCCCCATCCAGAAACAGTGGCGGTGAAGCCGGTATAATCTTCACTGACGCTGGGAAGACAAGCGGGTTTAACATTTTCATTCAAAGAAGCTTTTGTGGCAAGCTTTAGTACAGCGATGTCGTTATCTTGTGTACTGCTGTCATAGCTTTCATGGTTAATGATCCTTTCTACAGAAATACGCTGCTGGGCACTGGTGGAGCTGGTCAGTTCATGTGCCCCTAGGAGAACCTCCACATCTATCCCATAATCAGTTATTCTAATGAAAAACACATAAAGCATTACAACCACAAAATACAGTGTTAAAAGAAAAAATATTATATCCAGATTTTCGAAAAATAACAAATAACTCGATAACTTACGCTTCCACAATGAGCAGCCGTAACAACGTAACCATCATTATAGAGAGAAGCACCACAGAAAACCTGGTTGGTTCCCTTTACAACGAGTGCCGCTTGCCAGGGGTACTCATTCACCTCCGTCGCCACTCCTCCCACAATGCGGGTGACGCGGTTCACTGTGCCACACTTGGCTGATAAATAAAATGTTACATCTGTATTACCTTGTCTATGAAACTTGATATTTGCGTAGAAAAGTTTTCATGGTTTTCCATCTGAAATTTGTGCCTATGACATATTACTATATCAAATCAGTACATTTTCTTCATCGTTAGTCTTACACAAATATAATCAACTCGTTTCAGTTAAAAACGTACAGCATTGACCGTTGTCGACGGAGATGTCAGTGACGTCAGTAGTGACTTGGGTGATGGTCTGAACCTTGCCTGGAGACGTAAACAAAGATTAACATTCATCACATATTATCAACAATTATCATAGTATCTAACAACTTTATAATTACAATAATCATTCATAATAGACATACTTTGTCTATATTGAAGACAGTTCGACACAGCAGTGACCCACACTGCCTTCACAAAAGAGGTTATAAGAAATAAACTGTCAAAGCTAAAGGTTCATAAGAGTCCCGGCCCTGACATGGTGCATCCCAGAGCGCTAAGAGAGTTGTGCAACAAGCTTCCTGAGCCCCTGAAGATCCTGTTCTGCAAATGCCAGGATGAGCAAAAGGTCCCCTGTGATTGGAAAATGGCTTATGCGAGTCCTATCTTAAAGAAGGGCGATCGTCACCCACAAATAACTGTGGACCGGTGAGCCTCACCAGCATAGTATATAAAGTATTTAAAAGCATTATAAGAGATGCCATGATGGAACATCTACGAAACCACCTTGTAAAGGATTGCCAACACGGTTTTATGCCAGGTGCCTGCTTAACACAATTACTCAAAGTACTGGACGTTTGATCCAAATTCTAGAACAGGGCGGCAATATCGACAATATATACCTAGATTTTGCCAAGGCTTTCGACAGCGTACCCCATGAAAGGCTGAAAATTAAATTGAAAGGTACGGATTCGAGGAAATGTCCTGGCGAAGATTGAGACTTTCCCCATGACTGCAAGCAGTGTGTGGTGATTAATGACACGAAATCATCATGCGTACCCATCACAAGCTGGGTACCACAGGGTAGTGTATTGTGACCGCTGTTGTTTGTTTGCTTCTTAAATGACATGCCTGACGCTGTACACTCCTCCATACAAATGTTTGAGGATGACGCCAAGCTATTTCGAAATTAAGAACCAAGCAGACTGTCAAGAGCTGCAGAAGGATCTCTGTGAGCTTGAAGAATGGTCGAAGAAATGGCTGTTAATATTCAATGTACCGAAGTGTAAGAGGCTGCACCTGTTAAGTACCAACAGTAAGGAGGGCAGTCCCAACGGACAGAGAAACTAGTGTATATTGACAATAAGCTGAAGTTATCGGGCCATTGCGAGAATAAGGTGATTCAGGCAACTAAATTATTAGGTCTCTGAAGAAGGTCGTTCAGATATCTAGACGGGCCTTTCTTCGTAACGATCTTCAAGATTGAGGTGCTTCCCCGTCTGGAACCCGAAATATGGCTAGGGACTGTCAGTTGACTAAAAATGTCAAAGAACGGTCGCTAGACTGGTGCCTGCACTTCGGAACTTCAGCTACCCTGAGAGATTAGAGCGCCTGAAATTGCCTAACCTTATTCCACAGACGGGCAAGGGGTAACCTAATTGAGGTATAGAAACATCTCAAAGGGCACCACTCAGTCGAGTGTCCTTACCTGGAGCCGCTTGCCCCACAAGGGGTCACAACTTAAGGTTGAGTAAAGCCCAGAAAACTGTGAGGGGCAACTTTTCTGGAGTGAGAGTTGTGAACTCTTGCAACAATCTGCCAGAGAGTGTTGTGACGGCACCGGGTGTGAGCTCCTTCACGACCAGATTTGATAAGCACTAGAACATGTTCAGAGAAATTCAGAAGCCAGTGCATGCCTAGTATCTGCCAACAGTGGTTAACAGAGACGTGACCGATCGCCCAAGCAGCTAATTAACCAATGAGTGGTGAAGAGGGTGTGAAAAAAAAAAAGATAGACTAGATGTTACAATCCAGTAATAAGAGATACTGTTGGCAGGAAACAGCCGGCTGAGACTCCACCAAGTGATGGTGACAATGTACCGCCACATCTAAGGGTGAGTCTTGTTTCTACAGCAACTATTACTGAGATGTATTATCAGTCTCTCGTGTATCACAATATTGTACTTACATGGTTATATAATGTGCGTACATATTTACGACCAGTTACACATCTTATACAGTAATTACTTACCGGTGCTCTAGTTCAAGAATCACTTATCACAGCTTGAGTCAAGGTGTTACTAAAGGTGGTACAGTATTCAAGGTGGAGGGTTGGTGATGCTCACACTCACTCGGCGTTAAGCAACACAAAAATGTTTGGTTCAAAAGACTGTTTCATGTTAACAGCTGAACTGATGACCAATGAAGAAAGTTGTTGTGTTATGTCAGGTGACTGAACCAATAAATAATGTCAGGTGAGGCCTGGTCTTAGGCTATGTTGGCACCTGTTGAAACTGAAGTCTGTATGAAACAAGCCAATTAAAACTGGGACCCATAAAGACTGGAACCCATAAAGACTGGGACCCATATAGACTTTAACCCATTAAGACTGCGACCCATTAAGACTGGGACCATTAAGACTGGGACCCATAAAGACTGGGACCCATAAAGACTGAACCCATTAAGACTGCGACCCATTAAGATTGGGACCCATAAAGATTGAACCCATAAAGACTGGGACCAAAGATGGAACCCATTAAGACTGGGACCCATAAAGACTGAACCCATTAAGACTGACCCATTAAGACTGACCCATAAAGACTGAACCCATTATAACTGGGACCCATTAAGACGGGACCCATTAAGACTGAACCCATAAAGACTGGGACCCATAAAGACTGAACCATTAAGACTGGGACCCATAAAGACTGGGACCCATAAAGACTGAACCCATAAGACTGGGATCAAAGACTGGAACCTATAAAGCAACCCATTAAGACTGGGACCCAAAAAGACTGGAACCCATAAAGACTGGAACCCATAAAGACTGGAACCCATTAAGACTGGGACCCATAAAGACTGAACCCATTAAGACTGGGACCCAAAAGACTGGGACCCATAAAGACTGGAACCCATTAAGACTGGACCCATAAAGACTGGAACCCATAAAGACTGAACCCATTAAGACTGGGACCCATAAAGACTGGAACCCATTAAGACTGAGAACTCATAAGACTGAACCCATTATAACTGGGACCCATTAAGACTGGGACCCATTAAGACTGGAACCCATAAAGACTAGGACCCATTGAGACTGGGACCAATCACACTGGGACCCAAAATACTGGGACCCATAAAGACTGGAACCCATAAAGACTGGAACCCATAAAGACTGGAACCCATTAAGACTGGGACCCATAAAGACTGGAACCCATTAAGACTGGGACCACTAAAACTGGGACCATTAACACTCAGACACATAAATACTGGGACCCATTAAGACTGGAACCCATTAACACTGGCACCCATTAAGACGGACCCATGAAGACTGGGACCCATTAAGACTTGGACCCATTAAGACTGGGACCCATTAAGACTGGGACCCATTAAGACTGGGACCCATTAAGACTGGGATCCATTAAAACTGGCACCCATTAACACTGGCACCCATTAACACTGGCACCCATTAACACTGGCACCCATTAAGACTGGAACCCATTAACACTGGCAACCAATAAGACAGGGACCCATTAAGACTGGGACCCATTAAGACTGGGACCCATTAAGACTGGGACCCATTAACACTGGGATCCATTAACACTGGCACCCATTAACACTGGCACCCATTAACACTGGCACCCATAACACGAGACCCATTAACACTGGCACCCATTAACACTGGGACCCATTAAGACTGGGACCCATTAAGACTGGGATCCATTAAGACTGGGATCCATTAAAACTGGGACCCATACTGGCACCCATTAACACTGGGACCCATTAACACTGGGACCCTTAACACTGGGATCTACTTAGGTTAGGTTAGGTTTATACTGAACTTTACCAGTCGAGAACTTACCAGAGGGGACACAACACAGGAGAAACCTTGAGCTTTTCCTCTTCTGTTTGTCTTGAAAACAATATTCAAAAGGTCAGTGTCGCCTCCTTCACTGAGAGTTCCAAGGTTGCCGCAGAATCTGAGGGAACACAAAGTCGGGTGATAGTGATTAAGTAATTAATACATTAGTTTATTATATCATATTGTACTTTTATCTTATATGTTGGTTCAGATTAATTAATGGATATAAAAATAAATAAAGTATTGTATACTTTACTGTATACTTTACTGTAGCTGTTGGCAGTCGTGTGGTGCCCCCGTCAAAGCTCTCAATATTTAACAGAATAATGACAAGAGACGCCATTGTCTTTTAAAATATATCACCTGTTGTTTAATGTATTGCCGTCTTCAAGGAGGAGAACGTCACCCCTGCACCTCCTGGAATTCTTTAAATTGAATGTGCGCAGTCGATGGAGATGGTGGAGTCTGAAGCTGATGCCTAAAGATATACATCTTGCCTTAGTATCATGTTTCAGAAAAGATGATATAATGTTAAGTTTGAAATTATGGGCAGTACAGAGTTATCTTAAATGCATTTCAACACAATACACGCACACAATATTATATATATATATATATATATATATATATATATATATATATATATATATATATATATATATATCACCTCACCTGCCAGAGATTCGAACCTGCTCTGTACTATCAAAGCCTGTTCAACGAGCTCGTTGAACAGGCTTTTGTGAAATATAACAAGTCTAGGACTGCTTTAGTATCCTGTTGGTCCAGAGGTGGCCTTCCCAAGTCACAGTCGGGTCATGGGTTCGAATCCTGGCGGGGTGAGGTGACTATATGTAGAATCCCACGTTCTTATTGGCTAATGAAATATATATATATATATATATATATATATATATATATATATATATATATATATATATATATATATATATATAT